GAACATTGTCTCATCATCAGGATGCAGAGAAGCAATCCCTAGTGATCCATTGAGATGAATGGTGATTCTTTCATCTAGGGTTGAATTGTGAGGAACAATGTTTCGGTTGCCATTGATAATGCTTGCCAAATCTTTCCATTCTCCCGCTGTTTTGTCCTTAAACCGCCACACTAGCTTGCCTATTTTATTGAGTGTGTAATATGGGCAAGTCAGGATGACATCCGTCTTGTAGCAGCCACTTTGATAATGATTTTTTGCACCCATGCAAACTGCAATATGAAAACATATTCGTAAATTAGAATAAAAAATTGGGAAACATTCCCTTGCATAAGTTGAAATACCGCTGCTGGTGGCACCTTTGCCATTTCTCGTTTCATTTCTGTAAAATAGAGAGTGACCTTGGATTGTGCCTCGGTGTTCACGCGATAACCCGTCATGATGTCTCGGAATTCCTTTCTACAGCTCATCACGGCATTAATCCCCTATCTTCTATATTCAGTATTTATAGAGGTTATTTATCGGCCAAGATGTCCGGATGGGGAAAAACTGTGCCTGAGGCCTTAAATATATAACCGAGGCCTTAGGGCCGAGAAAGAAAATACCGTCCGCTCGCGCAACAAATCATAACGCACGATTCTTAGAATACTGGAATGAAGGGAAAAAAAGAAAAAAAAAAGGGAAGAGCAAAGCTCAAGATTTTTTCCGGATAACTGATTTAGTAATCTATTGAATGTTCTTTGGTCTTGCGCGTATCTTTGTACAATCTTCAGACAGACGGCGCTGGTTGTTGACTAAAAGTTCCACTCGGATGATGTTTTTCGGGAGATTGTTTCCAAAACTATGATCTCAAACTGCTTGAGTTACCGAACTTTTTGTACACAATTAAAAAACAGAACATGACGTTAAAAGGCTATGAAATTACTCAATGTTTTTGGCCCTAGATTATGATAACATTTAATTTGGTAGAAAAACACTGGTATTCATATCTACAGATTATGAATTAAGAGGGTCGATCGACATGATAATCACTTTAGTCACGTTTCCATTGTTGGACGACGTGGACATTTGCTCACAGCGAGACAACTGTGTGTTCAAGGGTGTGTTAACTTCTCCCTCGTCAGCTCGATAGTCGAGATTAGAAAATAAAATAAAATGTAAAATTGATTAATCAGCTCTGCCAGTTCTGTCAGAATGATTCTAATTTCGGAAGTACAAGTCATTCACTTATCGAACCATCCGTGACGTACGAATGTCTTATTTACTTCAGTCAAAAAAATCCTAAACTTGTCTATCTAACTGAACACTAGTGACTAGTCTTACTTATCTGAGCGAGTGGAATTGCAGCAAATATTAAGGCAAAAAATAACCATGGATTATTTCAACGTACGCGGATGTATGTATATGCTGGATTATCATGATCACGAGCATCACTGACCCCGAGCAGAAAAACGTGGCGCGAATCATCAAGCTGTACACTTCACTTGCACACGAGTCGAGTCATGACTAGCATATCAAACCATATCAAACACACTAGTTATAAAAGAAGATAGCTCTACTTACTGTTGACGACGACGAACAGCCACGCTAGAGCCCGTAAAACACCACCAACTACTCCACGCATTTTCAGCTGTATTGAACAATAGATTGAAGTGTTTTTGAACAAACTAAATAAGGTATTAGCCTCTTTGATTTAATTAACCAGTGTTCTATTCACTCTTGAGATTGTCAATGTTCTATCGAATAAGATGATACTTTGCTAAAATGCAGTTGAACGAACGAAAATCAGGATTTTTTGGCCAGTATTCCAGTGATAGTCTACTAATCTAGTTTTTTCACTGCTTTCCTGAGAATGTCTTAACTGTGCTTAGTTTAGACTTGCTCTGACCCCAGCTCGTTTAACTCACTGTCAATCGACTCGCAACTGTGTTCTGCTCAGATGGTTGTTGGAGACTCGGGCACGTCTTTTATCTCTTACTAATGAATACTGCTGCAGGTCAAGTGACCAGTCATTTCATATTTTTATAGGCTTATTGTATCGGGGAGTCCCCTAGCTTTTTCACGTGAAAATTCGCAACCATGCATTGTCTGTAACTTTTGTGAAACCACATGGTCGACTGAGTAAAAAATTAAAAAAATTTTAAAAAATGCAAAAAGGCGTGTCGGGTATATCCAACTAATGTAGTACGCATTCGCTCTCCGATAGGTGTTATTGGCTTGCCTTCGTGATAAATTTAACCAATCGTTTGCCACAAACACGCACGCGTTTACTGTCCATATAACACTTGGAGAAACTTAATTTCATGTGAAAAATAATTTTCCTGTAAAAAAAACTTAGAACTTTTTTCACGAGATGATATTAATGTTTCAGTTTATTTCCTGTTTGTGAATCATTAATAACGATAAGTYATCCGCTTAGTTTTAGCCTGCGAGCAGCCGGACTTTTCGCTCCTATGCTTCTTCGTCTTAAATTTGCGCCAAAACTCTTGACTCGTGAAGTTCTAATGGATAGAGAAAAGTTATATAAAACCAACGTCTCATCAAATTTTTAGTTAATTACATCATTTATTATCATCGCAAGAAAGATAGAGCTGTTAATATAATCATAGTAAGAGGAAATTTGCTTTGCTGACCTTTCACGTGGTGGTAAGGCAGACGTCGTTTAATCCTAGTTCCTGTTATTTTTGGAAGTGAATTTATAAAAGCCCCTTGGAACCGCCTTGTGGCTACATGCTGGTATTTTTCCTGACCATCTTTTATGACGTTTTTCTGTCATTATTCATTTACTCATGTTTGGCACTTTAGCCCCATAGTCCCTTTAGGCCTAAAAAAATTGTTGGACTGATTTTGTGGGGACAACTAGGTGATAAAATAATGTTGGGAGGGGAGTAGTGTAGTAGTGGCTTTTAGGTTGTTGTGATAATGGTAGTAATGTTGTTGGTATTTAAAATTAGTGCAGAAATGACGTTACTGCAAAACTGAGGAGTCATAAAGTCTGTGAAAATTGAAGAGCAAAAAATAAAACGTCCACAATTGAAATAAAAATATAAAACTCATTACTTATTGTGTCACTAATATCAAGTGATTAATCATTAGCAACGCTTTGTTTTCTTATTTGGTGGCCTGAAAGTCCATAATTTCCTGAAGCAAGAGTGACAGCTCAGTCTATCAAATTTTCTTGGTCCTGATGCACCGAATCAAAATATGGCGACCAATTTGAATAACTATTGTTCTGCACTGACTAGCAACTGACTAGCCTCCTATACATGTGAAAATGCTTTTATGTTTCCACGTGCTAGTCAGTCGCTAGTCAGTGCAGAACAATAGTTATTCAAATTGGTCGCCATATTTCGATTCGGTGTATTAGTTTACAGTTTTTTCTCAGACTAGCATGTGTCATCAAAAGAAGCGATGCACCAGATGATAGGTAATCATGATGACCCTTTTCTTTCTGTATACTCTCTTGTATATTCAAGGCTTAGTAACTTGTATGAACCAGCTGACAGCTAAAGTGGTTGCGAACTTGCGAGCCAGCAGAATGTAACGCCAGCAAGTTTGCAGTGGGCTTCATTCAAGTAGTTTCCACCGTAGATAGAGTTGGATACAGTAGTGGGCAGGCGTCACTATTAAACCCATCAGGACATCAGATACTGCAAGTGCTATGGCAAAGTAGTTGGGGGTTGTTAGTAGCTTAGGGTTTTTGAAGAAGATGCAGAGAGAACATCCATTTCCTATGGAGGTCACCAGCATGACGAGACAAAGTTTAAAAGTTTCGACAAAAACCAAAGGAACAGGATGGTTTTTCAAGTCTTCAGACAACAAATTGAGAAATTTGTCATGATTTTGCTGGCTCTTGCCATGCGCACCGCACTGTACACACTCCTGCAGCAATGACCAATTTTAAACTCAGTAATCTCTAATTTAAAGTGCACCTAACCCCTGATACAATAATTTCAGTATTGATTCTACATAAAGTGAACAGGGTGAATATTTGAATGGTGAAATATTTCTTTATTTGAATGTTGCATGCTTAAGTTATAAAGGTTTATTCTTCCATAATTAAAAAAATACAAAAATATCTGGATACATGTGGATGTACGAGACCTTACTCAGAAAAGAAACCCAGTCTTGTTTTGCTTAATTAAAAATATAATGGATTGAAGGCAAAAACTCATGCAGACGTCATAGATTATGGAAACGAATGGAAACTATTATGAATGATTATGAAACAGAGCCACTCTGTGGAAATGCCACTGCTAAACCCTATTTTATTTATTTAAATTAATTGAAAGAAGAAGTTAGAAGAAGTAGCATAGTTCATAATGAGTTACATCAGGCAGGCACGGTACAGGTTTGTAGTTGTAGATCAATTCTGCATCCTCTTCTTTCTTACTTGCAAATGTATGCTTACTTTGACGGGCTAGAAAAAAACCCATAATATCTGTATAAAGCTACATCTCAAGATGGGTAGGGGAGACTACTTCAATAAGGTGAAAAATCAGGCACAACCCAAAAAAAGAGGGGTTGCAAGCAAAATGAAAAAAAAAATGCAGAGAGGGGGTCTATCAAAGGCGAATCATAGGGGGTGGGGTTGTGTGCCTTGGTATACAGTAACGTATCATAGGGGATGGGTTTGTTTGTCTTGGTATACAGTAACGCATCATAGGGGATGGGTTTGT